CCCCAAAACCCCAAAACCCCAAAACCCCAAAACCCCAAAATTAACCTTGTGTTAAGAATTTATTAATTTTTGAAAATGGACTTTAAGAAAACTCATCTAAGGAGCTCCCAAAGCTCTATCATGAAAGATAAATTTACCACTCCTGGGAATATACTCTATGTACCTCCGAAGACAGCCAATTCGAATAGGTCAACAAATTATTTAAGGTCAAGGCATTCGAAGACGAATGCAGATGTTCCGGAAGTTCCAAGTATGAAAAATGAATTTGATCCAAAAAGGCAAGCCACTAAGGCTTTATCGTATAGAACGAGGACTAGTAATATTAAGACCAGGTATAAAAAGTATGCATGCTAGTCCTTTTGTAGCTAGCAACTCTTTGAGGTTATTCAGGAAGGTCTATAGAGGTTACTGATTGATTATATAGACTCTCAGTCATTATGAAGTTCAAGCAGAATCTTGAAAATGATTATAAATAAACTGTTTGAGAATTCCTTGTCAAATAGCCGTTTGGCACAGATTTCAAGAGCCAAAGGACGATCAGCTAGTACCAAAAAGAGACCTATCCAGTTCAGGTTAGAAGATTATTTCGGTTATTTACATCCGGTTGCTGAAAATCTCTTTCTATTAAATAAATTTTAATGCTTATTTTTATGCTTTTCTCTGTCTTTTTCTGACAATCTCATAGAGCAATTGAAACATTTAATCCTAACTCTGTCAAGTTCAGTTCGACTATGACAAAGGCCAACAGGATTGGAATAAACAGAGAAACTAGTTACAAATAAAATCAGAAGTATGAAATTTAGTTATAGTCTAGAAAATAAAAAGTTAATGGATAGCATTCTCAAGAGTGGCAAAAGTAGCATTGGTAAGAAGTCATTCCTTGGAAATATCTCTATCCCAAAAATGCTGCAGGTAAATGGTCATGCGAAGTTAAGCTGTGCTGGTATTCTAACTATTCTAACCTTGTAGGTACTTTTCTAGCATCTGCTAGAAGAAATATTGCTAAAATTAAATAAAAAGAACCAGGTTTTTAAGTATTCTTTGATAACCAGCAACTGGGATAAGACTCATATGATCCTGAGGAAAACGAGGAAGAAGACACCTGATAGCTCAAAATTCAAAAGCTATAGTGTCAAGGCAAATAAGATTTTGCTATAAGTCTCTCTGAACCCAATAAAGAGAGTTTAGTTAAGTTTTAAGTCATTTTATGTAAAATATCTGCTTTCACATTTGAGGATCTCTAAATGATACCATATTGGTTGAGAAAGAGTTTCGATATTATAAACCAATACGCTTATCACCAATTTTGCCTATAAGCACATTTATGAATGGTAAAGAACTTGTCATCTAGCTAAATGCTAAATTTACACTCATTAACCACTAAAAGGACCATTTAAAACAGTTTGGAAAAATTATTTTTATTTGATAGTCCTTAACTCCTGGTTTAAATTGTCTAACTTCTCTTTGATTTTCAGGAAGGTTTTGCTTGGCCCTATTCTGGTAGATACTAGCTTCTTTTCATGAGAAACCTTGAAAGGAGGCTCGTTTGTAGAGATAGGTGCCAAAGGAGATCTCTTAGAAGAGGACTCGACACTAATAGAAGGAATTTGAATGCTTCCAGACTCGATATCAATTTTAGGAGGGGAAGGACTGGGTGAACGACTCTTTTTCATCTGAGGTTGGAAGTGGTCAGTCCTTTGAGAAACTGGGCTTTGGAGGATATCTTGGGGGAAATGCAACCTTTTTAGTGTTTGCAATCCAGTTTGAGCTGATTTAGGTGGCTTTAAATCCTTAGGAGCCGGGTAGAAGGGAGATGATTTTTTAAGCTTTTTAGAATGCTTTTTGATACTTTTGGTCGAATTTGGCAACTCTATGTCCATATTGGGATCTCTAAGATGATGCAATTTTAGTATACGCTTTTTCACATTGAAGCGATTCTTGTAGACTCTTTCTTGACCTTCAGACTCACTTTGAGCTATATATTTTGGAACAGAGAAATGGTTTCATAGCCTTGCTTCTTTCTCTTCCTTCATTCTTCTCTCATGGTCTTCTCTTATTCTTCTAATTTCTGGGTCCATTTTCTCTCTAATCTCTCTATTCTTCCTTTGAATTTTATCATTGTAATAACTTGCTGCTCTGATGTACTTCTCTTGTTCTTCAAATGTCATCATGAGCCATTTCTCATGTCAATAGACTCCAGCATCAAGTAGGGAAAGTTCTTTGTCATTCTCGATCAGTTTCTTCTTGAATTTTTTAAAGAACAATTGGAATGGTGTAAACATATGGAAATTTGGGATCCCAAGTTCCTTGTATTGATTAAATTTCAATCTTTGCAAGTCAGTTGTTGCTTTAATCTTTGAGACAAGGTTCCTCAAGCTCCATGTGATCTCTTCAACAGGTGGTCTACTATCGTTTATATGATTCTGGAGGTCCTCATTAACTACTTTTACTGCGTCCATGACCTTATTCAATGCTACTCTTTCCTTGTAAATCTTTTGGTATTGGAAATGTGATAGCATATTCTGCATATCCTTCTTCATTGCAAGAATTTGTTCGCTAACTGTAATGTATTCCTTTTCTCTCTCAAGTTCAATCTTCTCTTGTTTAGGAGTCTTTTCCACATCTTCTACAAGGAGTTTCTTGAGGTCTGCTAAGACCTGATCTTTGGATCGGGCTAGCTCCTGAGAGATTTCATCATAAGTCTTGTCTATAGTTCTCCTGATCTCTTTCATCTTCTCTTCATAAGTCTTCTGGTTGAAGTACAGATCGATAGACTCTTCAAGCTGGTTTGTGACTGTATTAACTCTATTTGCAATCTCATTAGCAATGATTCCTAGAGAAGTGATGCTATCTCTTCAAGCAAAGTGGGTTTTTGAAAGGCAGCCTTCTCAGATCAGTTCATTATGGTTTCTTCATAGATATGAAAAGCCTAAATTGTGCTCTTCACATTTTCCAATGTCTTCTGGAGGAGGTAAAGGAGCAGGTAGGCCAGAAGGTCTTAATTCTTGGTTTTCAGCAGAAATATCCTTTGATTCTTCATTGACTTTGTTGTCATTTGTTGGTATAATGCTTTGAGGATGATGTGTTTGCTCCTGATTGAGATTTTCAGATACTTCTTGAGTAGGGTTGGAATGAATGTAAGCGGTATTGTCATTTTGAATTGGAGAATCTTGTTGGTGTAATCCTTTTTGCTCTGTTTGATATTCTTCTATCTCATTATTTTGCATTATATAGTCAGCATCTTGACCAAACTCATGACTGACTAAACCTTCATAATTTTGTTGTATTTGTTCTTCTTGAGCTTGGCACTGTCCAAGCCCATCTTTTACCTCATTTCCCTCTTCTTCACCCCCAAAAATCATCCCAGGGTTCATATGAATGTCTTCATTCTGTAAATCAATGTCTTGATTAATCCCACTACCAAACGATATTTTGTTTGAATGTTCCATAAGTCAAAATTCAAAATTGACAAGGCTCTGATGCGATATATCCACAGGTGAATTTTTCAAGTTTGGCTAAACTCGCAATTCTACCTACCTAAATATTTGCTTTTATTATTGAAATATCTTCAACTTAATTTTAGCCCAAAGGGGTTTTGGGGTTTTGGGGTTTTGGGGTTTTGGGG